TTTTTTTTTTTTTTTTGGTACTGAGGATCAAACTCAGGACCTTGTGCTTGCAAGGCAGGTGGTGGAACCACTGAGCTAAATCCCCAGTCTGAGTCTTAATTCTTTTGGGAAGATGCCTAGCTGGGGAATAGCTGGGTCAAATGGGACCTCTAATCCTAGTTTTTTGAGGTATTTCCATACTGATTTCTACAGTGGTTGCACCAGTCCGCATTCCCACCAACAGTGAAGAGTTCCTTTTTCCCCACAGCCTTACCAGCATTTGTTGTTGGTTGATTTCTTTTATTTTTTTGGTACCGGGGATCGAACTTGGGTCCTGGCGCTGTTGAGGCAGGCAGCGGAACCACTGAGCTAAATCCCCGGCCCTATTGGTTGATTTCTTGATGGCAGCCATTCTTTCTGGAGTGAGGTGGAATCTCAGCATTGTTTTCATTTGCATTTCTTGAATGACCAGTGATGTTGAACATTTTTTCATATATTTCTTTGCTCTTTCTACTTCTTCATCTGAGAAGTGTCTTTTCATTTCAGATGCCCATTTTTGGATTGAGTCCTTAAATTTGGAGGGTCTGATTTTTTTGAGTTCTTTATATATTGTAGATATTAGTCCTTTGTTGAATAGCTGGTAGAAATTTTTTCCCATGCTGTGGGTTGTCTCTTCACTCTGTTGGTGGTTTCTCTTGCTGTGAAAAAGCTTTTTGATAAAGTGAGAGAGTTAGGGATTTAGCTCAGTGGTGCCACCGCCTGCCTCACAAAGGCAAGGTCCTGAGTTCGATCCCTGGTACCAAAAAAAAAAAAGATGAAGTCCCAGTTGTTGATTCTTTGTAGTATTTTCTGTGTGGTCTGGGTTTTGTTCATGAAGTCTTTGCCTACTCCTCTGTCCTCAAGCATTCTTCCTATTCTCTCTTCCAGCAGATTTAGTGTGAAACTAACCTTTGATATCCAGTAATTAACTACATTTTCAACAACTCATTCAACCCACCAACTGCAAGATGTACTGTCATTTTATATACCACTGCAAAAAAAAAAAAAAATCCCCATAAAACTCCAACTAAGTTGTGATGTGTTTTTGATTCTGGGATGGACCCTAACTACAGAAATGTAAAACTGTGTCCTAAAATTGACCAAATAAGATATATTAGTTTGTCACCTAAGCATTTTCCCTTCCATATTACCAGTAATTCATTTTGCTTATATAAAACTGTATATGTTTTGACATTCTGAATTTTGGTTTATTGAATTTGTAAGTATTTTCTTACTAAAATCTTTTTTTTTTTTTTTAGTACTGGGAATCCAACTCAGGACCTTACACTTGCGAGGCAGGCAGCGGCACCACTGAGCTAAATCCCCGGCCCACAAGTCTTGTTATGTAGTTCAGACTAGCTTTGAACTCACTATGTAGCCCAGCCTAGCCTTGAACTCATAGCAATCCTCCTGCCTCAGCCTCCTGAGTGCTGGGATTTCAGGTGTGCACCACCATGCCCAGCCTAATGTCTTAAAATATGAATACATGGTAGGTTGTTGGGCTGTTGGATGGTAGGCTTTACAAGGCTTAAGAAGCATTTTACCTTCTTAGCATAGCTTGAATCTCAGCATTGTCTCCCAGAGATTATTAATACATCTAGATAAGTCAATTCTGTCTGAACTCACATAACGAAAAATTAAAAGAACATTTCATTAATTTCTACAAGTGATTAAATTGGCTAAGTCACCTAGATTTTTATGGCTACTAGTTGATGGAATTAGTAGATCAAACAATAGGATCAATTCTCCATGTCTTTTTGTTTTGTTTTATAGCACATTTAATAATTTGTTTGCTATTAATTAGTTTGGGTGACTAACATGAGTAATACTTAATTCTTTTGTTCCAAAGCAGAACAGATTTAAATCCTTGTCTTTTTGAATTTATTATATTTCCTGTTTAGAGTGTCTTCACTACTCTCTTACCCTCTTCTCCCTGAACTCTATGCTAACCTACAACTTCAGGTTGTATTTGTTGTAGGTAGGTAGGTGGTATTTGTTGTAAAGTCTTCCTTCCTGTGCATTAATCTGATCAATGTATCGAG